TTTTACATGAAAAAGTCAAACCCTAAAATCCTTCATGATTCATATGACTATGAGCTAAGGATGGCTACTACATCAGAGTATTGAACTGACAATCTCATCCAATCAATTTGTCATAGCAAAAATCCCTTGGTAAGGGATTTTGCATGAAAAAGTCAAACCCTAAAATCCTTCATGATTCATATGACTACGAGCTAAGGATGGCTACTACATCAGAGTATTGAACTGACAATTGAAACTCCCTATAATACAGTAAATAATACTAGACTATTGGGATTCAAGTCAAAACCAACTTGAAAAAAAATTCATACACCAAATAAATTTATAACTTCAGCAGTTAGTATTATACAGTAATATATTAATAAAATTAAATACATGAAGTATTATTTGAATATAACATGAACTATTATAAATAAATACAATGTTTCTTTGTTATTTACTGCTGTGCTGGTGTACAAAATCTATCAGAGCATTGAAGTATTGACCAATACTGGTAAAAAATTGACATAAAACTTTGTTGGCCACTAATTTTCCCTCTATTTTCATTCCTGTTATAATGATATTTGTAACAAATTTGTGACCGCGTATACTTGAAGTGAACAAATCTACTCTCATTGTCTTTTGCATTTAGCATAAGGACAGATCTTCTATTTATGCCGACAAAAGAACAGATCTACTCTTATGCCGGGCATAAGAGCAGATCTGCTCTTATGCCCGGCATAAGAACAGATCTACTCTTATGCCGGGCATAAGAACAGATCTACTCTTATGCCCGGCATAACAACAGATCTACTCTTATGCCGGGCATAAGAACAGATCTTCTCTTATGCCCGGCATAAGAACAGATCTGCTCTTATGCCCGGCATAAGAACAGATCTACTCTTATGCCCGGCATAAGAACAGATCTACTCTTATGCCCGGCATAACAATTGAACCTTATTTGCCCAAACCTCATGTTTGCTGAAGTCCGAGTATTTGTAGGATTCCGAGTTCAAATGTCGGGGTGTTATATATACTGTTGTTTGATTCTAAATAGGAGAATAGCTTTTAGCTTTTAAAAAAATCATACAAGCTTCTTAGGACATGTTATAATCATGAAGATGTGATTTTGAATATAGTAGCATTTAGCTTTATTAAAGGATGACACATAGCTTTCTTAGGAAAATGTTTGCGATCAAGGACATTTAGTTCCACATTAAAGATTAGCTTTTAGCTTCATTACGAATGACAAGGAGTTTTCATAGGAATATCTTTAAACGAATATAGTTGATGAGCGGTCAGACACCCACAGTTTAAAAAGGAGGAGCTATTTTAGCTTGGTAAAACAATAAAACAACAATTTGAGATACAGATAATGTAAAACAGTGCTTGAGATGAAATAAAGATTATGAAAAATGTAGCTAGGAAGATGAAATAAACTTAGGAGATATGTCATCTACACATATTTTATGTTTACTATTAGGGACTGAAGCCATGGACATTATTTTTTTCAACGTTTAATTCCCGTTAAATGTTACATTGGTGCGTCGGCCGGGAATCGAACCCAGATCTAATGCTTGGAAGACATCAATGATTACCTTTACACCAACGACGAACCACAAACACATTACCTTGTCAGTGTCATTTGTAAACTGGAAATAATATTCTTCCCATCGTTACAAGCCTATGTGACATAAGGATTATTGAAGCCCAAAGCATTGTTTTTCTCCTTAAAGATATTAGACTAAGAATATCTCAAAATTTCACAGATACTGACTTCAACTTCACCCTGCCTGACCATCCACCACTGAGCGATTTAGAGGACAGCGACCTACAATTTTCGAAAAATATGGACTTACTTATCAGACAACTTAAGACCACCCGAAAATGGAAGCTAAAGACACTTTCATTTTCCAAACCCCTTGACCCTCTAATAATTTCAATGATGGCCACCTTGGCTTGTATAAGTCTGGGGCTTGGATTTGTCACTTTTATGTTAATTCGCTAGAAACGTCTCTCTGCTAATCAAGACACTGCCCTCGTTAGCATAGGACGACACGTAATTCGAGGGTCAAATACTCAAGGCACCCCAGTTTAATGTTTTTCAGTATATCAATGTGAAATTTGTGGGGAGGAGCTACCAAACAAGAAGGCCTTCAAGAAACACCTAAGACAACACGCATCCCCACCAAAAAGGTGCAAACAAGAAGAAAAATCCAATAACTATAGAAATTATTTCTGATGATGAGCAAGTCCCAGAACCAGAAAAATGCTGTTCGCCTTATAATCAAGGAAACGAAAGGGAATCCCCAAGTCGCAAAGACCAACTACCTCAGAACCCTCTACGTCTACTGATTCAGAGGACGGTGCTGTTAAGAATAAAAAAATTCTTGAGTACCCGAAACTAATCCTTAACCTAAGATGTCCTATGTAGGGTCAAATTTGAGGAATTGGCGATGTTTGAGACCCACAAAGTCTTCACCATCAGATGACCCACTCATCTGCACTTCATGTTTGCTAGGTGGGAAACAGGCTCAGACATTTGAGCCCACCTCACTCTTATCATCTAAAGGTATGCTGAGCTTGTGCCCTACTGGAGTAGTAGTTGTTGTTACTAACCTTTTAGTTGTTCGGGACGATCAAACCAAGGGGGAAGCAGTGTTACAGAAATGCACTATTTCTGTTTTTATTTAGAATCTATTCTAATCTACATATTTTGGAGGAAGGACTTATCATCAATTATTTTAGTGGAACTTGGTATGAGGTGTGAGCAAAATAATTTCTCTAAGACTCTATGTAATTCAATTCCCAATATTGCTCGGGCATATTGCTCAAGTACTTTCTAGTTTCATTTATCCGAGGCCTGTTTCAATATCTTTTGAATTTTCTTTACATTCTCCATTTTCTCAACTGAGTGAGCTAATAATTCATGCCACCTGAGAGAAATTTTAATAATCTAGACATTCAGAGCAGATTCCCAGATAATAAATAATGTCAGAGCTACAAACTTTGAAGCAATTGTCAAAATCACCTCACATTAAGAAGAGAACTTTGCCGGCCCAACACAATTTAGAGCATTAAGTAATACACGCTTCGTAGCATTTATAGAAATTATTTCGGTGCTAGAAATTATTTGTGCACACAAATCCAAATGTTCGAACACTAAATTACAATCACTTTGCTCTCTTCTTGTGATACGTTTTGTTGATTCAACTGAAACGTTTTTTTTTAACATTTAGAAGCTAATGTTTTAAATCCTTGCACTACTGACTTAATGGCATAGGCCATCTGTGTAGCTCTCGCCCTGATTAGATTCTCCCATTAGTTCATCTGCTAATCATGGAGTTAAATATCTTTTGAAGCTGATTATTTGTGTTTTACTGAAAAGACCATGCATCTCAATTTAAAGACACATACAAATGTGTCCAACTGATAAACTGATTGTGCTTTTATGCATACGGGCGAAAAACGCCGTATTATATTTTATATTGTTAACTTGTGCTTTTTGGCACGCACATTTATTGCCTTTTGAAGGGACACTTTTTTTTGTGTAGAAAATTATATATAAAGTTGTATGTGAAGGCACATGTAAGTGCCTAATTTTATATGTTGTAATATTAATTGTAAAACAGTGTTCTATCGTTACGATCTCATATTTTGTTTACAATGAAAGAACAAACATAATCCCTGCAAATTTTATTGAAATCCATCAATAATATGTTATGACATTATTATCTTTATTTCCTGAACACCCTGTACAGGTGTGGTGATTATATACATACAACTTCATTAAACGAATGTAAATGTTATCTTGCCCAAATGTTTATTTACTGGGCATCATCACCTTTATTGCAACTAGCATTTTAGAAGGCACATGTTAAAAGTGTCTAGTTTGATATTGTATCAGTGTTTTATGTTGTACTTTTATGCTGTATTTTTTATGTCATATTTTCATGTAGTAATTTGTAACTGTGACCTCGATCCATTTAATTAAGGTATGTTTAAATACAGTTAGATTAATGAAAAAAGATAAGAGAGTCATTCACCACGACCGATTAAAGAAGTATGTCTCCAAAGTCAAGGAAAATCTGCCCCGGAACTTGAAACAACTAGGGATGTTGAAATTCCCGGGTCAGATGTCAATGAACCTATCCAGGGCACGGGAAAAGGGGGACGGGAACACAAGAAACCAGGGTGGCTAGACGAGTATGAGACGTGTTAGGGTCACTTGGGAGGAGAGGCGGAATAATCTAGATATATATTTATAATTATTATTTATCATATTAACCACCATTATAATGAAAAGTGCCTTTAGAGCCACTCAGGGGTAAAAGTTTGCCCAGCAGTGGAGAGAAAGGCAGGGACGCCAGTAAATGTCTTTGTTTTCTTCCAGGATTGCAAAGAACAGATCCTACCTCCAGCCGGCTCAGCGATCTCGGGAGACTTTTAGACCCCGGCGGCCCGCCGTAGTCTCTTGAGTTCAAACTTTAATGCGCCGATCTCTAACACTATTAATGAAACCCGCCGTACTCTAATTTACCTGAAACGTACCCTAATCAGCAACAAAATTGTAGAATTTACCGAAAAAATAAACAAAACAAACTTCCATTCGCCATGTTGTTTGTTGTTCTTAGGCACCTTCTTCACCGTAGAACTCTCCTTAAATAAATAGAAATGGCTCTTGTAAGGAGCATTCTCCTGTTAGAATATTATAAATAGATGGCAGACAGATAGGATGACCATACACGAGGAACTTTTGCGCCAAATTATATTCCCACCTAAAATTACATTACACTTTATGTGCGCAAAAACTAATTTTGCGCGTCAATGAAGACTTCTGAGTTTGCAAAAAAAAATCTAAAAATTCCACTAACGAGTCGAAAGACTCCTCAAAATGAGCAAGCATCAGTTCAACAGCGTCAAATGTAAGTAATCAATACATATTTCATCCATTTAACTTGGTAAAATTATATTTGTAATACAAATTTAGAAATTACACGAGAAAATCTGACAAAATGTGTACATGTTGATGGCCCGTTTGCTCCCGGGGATTCCAACTCAGTATTTGAACAACATTTGAGTTCAGGGGTCACACTTAGCTCCTCCCTTTGTGACTATATATGGCAAAGCCTCGTTTTGAAATAATTTTATAAATGAATTATCAATACAAACGTAGTATTTCGTAGTAAAAATTCTCAACTTTCAAGATTTTTTTAATATTTCTAATTTTTCTTCCTAAAAATACTAGCGAGTACAATGAGCTCTATTTGAGTCTATAATGACCTCCCCTATGTTCTCCATTGCACAAACACGATCCATGCCCTTATGCAATATGTTTGTTTTAGATGAGGTTGTGAGCATAAGAGGCGATGGTCGGTGCCTATTCAGGGCTCTTGCCAGGGCAGTTGGAAGGGAGACACTGACCGGAACTGCCGAGACACAAGCAGCAGACCGAATCAGGAGGGAATTGGTGGACAAATTTGAAGCTGAACGCGAAAAATGGAAAGAACGGGGAAGACTTGCTCCTATCCACATGGACTGGCGATACACATCCATTGATGCTGAGATGGAGGCAATGAAGAAGTCAACAGCTGAGGGAGGAACTCTACAGTTGATGGTAAAGCTCATTGCAGTGAATCAGTTATATTTCCCAGCCATTATGTGGTAGACATTGAGCAGTGTCTAATGTATTTTAGATAAGAAAATTTTGCTGATTTGACTCTCATGACTCTCTCTATATTTACATTTTGCCTTGTCCTCTCTGATGAAATCCTTGCATTGTTCACATTAAGAACACAAACAATGATGATCAGAAATAAATATAAATAAACTGTACATTGAAGACCAACATTTGATTTAAATTGAGATTAATATCCCGGCTCATTGCTTTTGTTTACCTTTCCTAGTAAACCAGTTATTTGATTATTGTTAATATGAATACAGTGAAACCTTTTGACTTGATCGGGTAGATTTTATGACCCACTGACTCAATTCCTATATCATAGTTGCACCAGACCCAATATGAAATCTCCCTTTCCTTAATAAACACCTCCACCATGGACAGCTTATAAGGCTTTAAGAGGTCAAACATTGAAACTTCAATTTTAGATTGCAGCAGAGCTCCTTAACTTTGATATTGGGCTGTATCAGAGATGTCCAAAAAGGAAGGGATCCCTCAATACCCTAGCTGAGATTGATGTTTTTCCATGTGCAGGGCAGACAAATCGTAGGATCCACCTTCTCTATGTACCAACAAGAGGTGGCAGAGAGGGCCATTACAACCTTTTGAGTGAGTACTTTGAATAATTGATTAAATGGCATTTTGAAGATGCATTACACTTTGTTTGGTTGGCATATTTCCAAATGTTGACATTTGTTTCTGTGGTGATTTTCAATGCCAATATTGAACAAATATTTCACTCTATTGAGGTGAATACCTGTACATCTTTCACAAGTGATATTCCACGAAGCCCGAAGGGCAAGTGGAATATCACCTTGTGAAAGTGCTACAGGTATTCACCGAAAATAGAGTGAAATATTTGTTTTATTATATCCCGGGAGCGTGGGGTATCGCTAGATATCTCACGGTTGTCTTATCTGATTAGCATTGCCATTGAATATCGCCAGATATCCCACGACATGTGACCCGGTTTTGACCAATCATACTGTCGCTAGCTAGATAGTGATATAATAATTTATTTTATTCTGTTTCCCTAAATTCTGTCATTTGTATATTCTTAGAAAAGTGCCAAAAACAAAGATCTATGAATGACTTCTTCAAACAATCTTCAAGCAGTTAACAGCCATCTAGTCATCAAGGAGGAACCACTCATTCTGCTAGGCCACCTGGTAATCCAACACATCAAAACACTCCAGGGAGTTCTCAGCATGAAAACCGTAAGCCTGGCAGTTCTACTCAGGAAAACAGTGCGTCTGGCAGTTCTACTCAGGAAAATGAACCACCTACACCTGGCAGTCCTACTCAGGAAAACAGTGTGCCTGGCAGTTCTACTCAGGAAAATGACCCACCTACACCTGGCAGTCCTACTCAGGAAAACAGTGCGCCTGGCAGTTCTACTCAGGAAAACGACCCACCTACACCTGGCAGTTCTACTCAGGAGAACACCCCACCTCCGCCTGGCAGTTCTACTCAGGAAAACAACCCGTCTGGTACTTGTAGTCCCCCTGATAGTCCATCTCATCCAAATAGTCAACCTAGTCCAACTCCACAGGGAAGGCCATCCCAGTCAGATCAATCCTCATCAAGAAGTCAACATCGAGGTAGATCCAACCCAATGAAACAAAAACACAGAGAAGGTTAGTAATTTGTCTTTAGATTATTGTCAATGACAGATTTGGAGAAATACAGAGATTTTCAAAGTTGGGCATAAATAGTCGTATAATATTACAGATATATATTTCGGAACTTTCAAAATCTTAGGGATTATTTTGTATGTATTAAAATTATCCCTGGAAATCACAATGTCAGAGAATTACATTGATTTAAAAAAATTGAAGTAAGCCTGATTATGAAGAACTACTTGGTACTTAACCAATATTATTTGAATGTTGTTTCAGGTTGGAAGGATGTGTATGGCACTAGATATCCTTGGGTTGAGCCATTGTATGCAGATGGGGAAGTTACAGCAATGATTTGTTCATTATGTAATCGCCACCGACCAAGAAAGGGAAAAGCAGGAGGTACCCCTTGGACAAGGGACAGGCCATCTCACCTCATAAGAGAAGATTGTATTAAGGACCACAGGTAAAGGGTCAAATATTTTAAAATCATTTTAAAAGAGTAACTTGATAAGATGAGAAATTTCATTGAGATTTTTAAAGGTAAATATCAATAAATATCAAAAATATTATTTTTACAAGAATATGAAAATAGTTGTTTATTTAGTGTAAGCCTTTGGTTAGCCATGTAATAATTTCAACCATAGTTTAATTCTATGTTTTGTTTTTGAATTATAATTTAATTCTGGCCATTTTTAGTTGGTAGTATAAAGGCAATATCATTGAACTGTTTTTACAGCAAATCTGCCTGCCATCTTCAAGCAATGAAGGATGAGGTATCTCGAGAACAGCAACAACTTTCTTCTGGATTCAGAATCCAAAATGATGCTGCATCTGATGCCTTTATAAGTGAGTTTGAATTTTTATTCAATCATATGTAAAAGTATTATGGCAAAATATTATGGCTTGTATTTTTTATGCCACCACGAAGTTGTGCCATTATTGTTTTAACCTCCAACTTTTTATGGACAGTGTGATTTTTGTTAAGTGTTTGGTGATTGGCATTTGGCGTCTGTAGCAAATGGTGTTAGCAGCCACCAACCATTTCATCTTATTTTTCTAGGCTAAAGATTATTCATCCTAAAGGAACTCGACTGACTATACAATTTCATTGATTTATTTTCAGATCTTATGAAAATTGTTTATCATTTGGCAAAAGACTTGAGGCCAGTAACTGCAACAACAGTCAACTCATATGTTGAATTATGCAAGGATGTAGGGGCCCAGAACTTAACATATCTCAAACAAGGGGAGAATGCCAAATATACGAGTGAAGACATAATGGCCCAAATCTTGACAGCGCTGTCTGACACTATTTTTAACAAAATTCTACAGGAAGTAAACAACTCCAGCTTTTTCACTCTGATGATTGATGAGTCAACTGACATCTCTACCATAAAATGTCTTATTCAGTATGTGAAGTACTGTAAGGTGAGTTGAATTATATTCTAACCTGCATAAATATCCCAACAAAAGTGTTGACATATTGTTTTAGCCTTCAACTTTTTGTGAACGGTGTTTGGCAGTGGTGGCATTTTGCAACATAATGCCTTGTCTTACTTTTTAATTGAGAAACACAACTTTTGTCAAAATTTATATATTTATTTATCTTCTTAGGATGGAAAGTCCAAGACCAAGTTTCTAGACCTTTCGGCTATAACTAATGGTTCTGCAGAGACACTGTTCAACAAAGTGTCATCAGTTGCTGACTCAAAGGGGTTAAGACGGCATGAGAAACTAGCAGGTTGGTAATGTCTCCTTTTTAAAGAGATGTTATTGTCATTGCCAAAAAGGGAGACCTCAAATCAAAAGTATAATAGCACAACAAGTCATAAGAAAAAGGCCACAAAGATCCAATGTTTGAATTTATTTTAAATTTTCTAACAGTCTGCCTTTTCTCTGTTTAGGATTTACAAGTGATGGGGCACCCGCTGTTTGCAGCAAAAAGAATGGGGTTGCGGGAAAACTGATTTCTGAATCACCCTGGGTAATATCGTACCACTGTGCGAATCACCGGACTGCATTGGCTGCCAGTCATGCATCAAATGAGGTCAATGAGGTGAAACGCTTCAAAGAATTCCTGGGTACACTTTACCGTTTCTACAATTATTCTGCTGTCAGGACAGAAAACCTGAAAGAAATCCAAGTGAGTATTAACAGCCCGATCTATTGTTAAACTTTATTATGTTTAGAATACAAGGCCAGTTACAATTAGTAAAATTGAGCCTCTCAATTACAGTATTACAAGCAGTGAAATCATTTGCAGTTACTCTTTATCATATTTTATATCAGGATTTTTGATCATGATAATCTCAGGATGTTTTTTGTGTATATTTGCAATGTAATGTATTTGGATGTATTTTGTGTCTAAGATAATTGCTCTGATACACAGCAATGTATTTGTATATGATTGATTTTTGTTTTAACTCCTTCATGACTGACAATTTTGGGGAAAATGGAAAGAAATGAAAAACTGAAATGTAAATGAATCTAGAAGCAAGAAAAGGAAGCAACACCCAATAAGTTTTATGTCATTTTGAAGGGCTATACCCATACTTTATGTTTTTTGAAAAAAATGTGAATATGCAAATGAGATAGTGTCATTGTGACGTCATAATTCAAGATGGCTCATTTGGATTTTTTTCAAAATATAATTATTTTAGCATTTAATTTTTTATTGAGACTTCAATTTTAAAATCTGGAAATGCAGAATTATAGATCTTCTTATGCTGATTTCAGTGGTATTTATACCATGACATAACTCCTACAAATAAATTTTTTAGAGCTTCGAGACTGCAAATTCTCGGAAAATCCCTATGGCGATTTAACATGGGATTTTATCGTTTTCGGAATTTTTCGCGCGCTCACCAGCTTCGGATCACTGTAACTTTGTAAATACTTAACGAAAAGTCATGAACTTTTTTTTAAAATGTTTGTACAGACTTCAGGATTAAATAAATTGATAAATCATGCATTTTTATCATCAGGGGTCCCTTGGAGACCCCTTAGAACAAAATCGATCATATATGATCGATTTTGTTTCTTGCTATTCTAAGGGGTCTCCAGGGGTCTTATTTCAATAAAACTGCAAGAATAATGTATTTTCTAAAAGAATGGACCAGTAGGAACATTTTAAAAAAAAGATTGTTTGAATCTGATGACTCTGTGCAAAGTTAGAGGCACTTGAATCTGACATGTCGCGAAAAAGTATCGAAAACGATAAAATCCCATGTTAAATCGCCATAGGGATTTTCCGAGAATTTGCAGTCTCGAAGCTCTAAAAAATTTATTTGTAGGAGTTATGTCATAGTACAAATACCACTGAAATCAGCATAACAAGATTTATAATTCTGTGTTTTCAGATTTTTAAATTGAAGTCTCAATAAAAAATTAAATGCTAAAATAATTCCATTTTAAAAAAATCCAACTGCGCCATCTTGAATTATGACATCACAATGACACTATCTCATTTGCATATTCATATTTTTTTCAAAAAACATAAAGTATGGGTATAGCCCTTCAAAATGACATATAACTTATTGGGTGTTGCTTCCTTTTCTTGCTTCTAGATTCATTTACATTTCAGTTTTTCATTTCTTTCCATTTTCCCCAAAATTTTCAGTCATGAAGGAGTTAAGTACCATCAGCCATCTTATGTTACAGCGCGTCCTAGACAACCCTGCCTTAAAGCTTAAGGATGCCAGTGACACTAGATGGCTGAGCACTGGGGCAGCTGTGCGGGCATTGTCATCCATCCCCACAGCAGTTCTCACCTCATTGGAGTACGAATCATCACAAAGAGGCAACCCTGCAGCAAATGGGTTGGCCCGTCAACTCGATAATTTTTCAACTTTGGCCATCATGTTGATGATGAGAGATATTCTCCCCTTATTGGATGCGTTAACCAATCAGTTTCAGGTAATTTTAAATTTTAGTTATTTACAAAATTGTTTCTCAGATCAATCTACCAGAGACTTCTTTTTCATCATGAAATTAAATCATGTCTTTACTTACATTTGTTTCAGAAGGAGAATTCCAACTTTAGGGAAGTAGACATGTTTGTGACTAACACTCTGTCGCTCCTTGAGGCCAAAAAGGTTGTGCTTGGACCCAACCTGGGAGACACACAGAGGTACATGAGAGAGTCCTGTCTGGGGTTCAGGTCTCTCCGCGACATTGAGGAGGATGAGGTATTTCAGCGGAAATTCAACCAGTTCAGAAGACAGGTATGCAATTATCTCTGCTATTAACTATTATATTCAACTAAATAAGGAGACCTAGCTATCAAGGATAACCAGAGTAATTGCATTGGGGAAAGTAAAACCATTAGTAAAGTGAAAATCTTAATTTCCTCCTCAGGCTTGTAATAATTTACTTACAGGTATATGAACCATACATCAATGCCTTGATGAACCAGCTGAACGACCAGTTCCCCCACAGCAACATTCTAAGTGCTCTTGCCATCTATGATCCAAAGCTGATCTTATTTCCTGATGATATGCAGTACATGGATTCATATGGAGAGGAGGAAATCAAGGTAACTTTCAATGTAATATTGAGAAATATGTTTTTGAAATATTTGTCTCCATTTTCTTATTTAGATTGCTTATACTTTTACTGTGAATCTGTTCTCTTTGTAGATAATATCAGAATGGT